GTATAACGACACTGCGCTGTTATAAATATAATGCTATTTTAACGCTGGTATAACGACACTGCTCTGTTATAAATATAATGCTATTTTAACGCTGGTATAACGACACTGCGCTGTTATAAATATAATGCTATTTTAACGCTGGTATAACGACACTGCGCTGTTATAAATATAATGCTATTTTAACGCTGGTATAACGACACTGCGCTGTTATAAATATAATGTTATTTTAACGCTGGCATAACGACACTACGCTGTTATAAATATAATGCTATTTTAACGCTGGTATAACGACAGTGCGCTGTTATAAATATAATGCTATTTTAACGCTGGTATTTAGATACTGTACTCCTATGAGTGTTGTGCTGTTGTAACGCTATTAACACACTGTGTTCTCATGGATGTAACGCTATTTTAATGCTGGTATTATGACACTGTGTTCTCATGGATGTAGCGCTATTTTAATGCTGGTATTAACACACTGTGTTCTCATGGATGTAACGCTATTTTAATGCTGGTATTATGACACTGCGTTCTCATGGATGTAACGCTATTTTAATGCTGGTATTATGACACTGTGTTCTCATGGATGTAACGCTATTTTAATGCTGGTATTATGACACTGTGTTCTCATGGATGTAACGCTATTTTAATGCTGGTATTATGACACTGTGTTCTCATGGATGTAACGCTATTTTAATGCTGGTATTATGACACTGTGTTCTCATGGATGTAGCGCTATTTTAATGCTGGTATTATGACACTGTGTTCTCATGGATGTAGCGCTATTTTAATGCTGGTATTATGACACTGCGTTCTCATGGATGTAACGCTATTTTAATGCTGGTATTATGACACTGCGTTCTCATGGATGTAACGCTATTTTAATGCTGGTATTAACACACTGCGTTCTCATGGATGTAACGCTATTTTAATGCTGGTATTATGACACTGTGTTCTCATGGATGTAACGCTATTTTAATGCTGGTATTATGACACTGTGTTCTCATGGATGTAACGCTATTTTAATGCTGGTATTATGACACTGCGTTCTCATGGATGTAACGCTATTTTAATGCTGGTATTATGACACTGTGTTCTCATGGATGTAACGCTATTTTAATGCTGGTATTATGACACTGTGTTCTCATGGATGTAACGCTATTTTAATGCTGGTATTATGACACTGTGTTCTCATGGATGTAACGCTATTTTAATGCTGGTATTATGACACTGCGTTCTCATGGATGTAACGCTATTTTAATGCTGGTATTATGACACTGTGTTCTCATGGATGTAACGCTATTTTAATGCTGGTATTATGACACTGCGTTCTCATGGATGTAGCGCTATTTTAATGCTGGTATTATGACACTGTGTTCTCATGGATGTAGCGCTATTTTAATGCTGGTATTATGACACTGTGTTCTCATGGATGTAACGCTATTTTAATGCTGGTATTAACACACTGTGTTCTCATGGATGTAACGCTATTTTAATGCTGGTATTATGACACTGCGTTCTCATGGATGTAGCGCTATTTTGACACTGATGTCATGACGCTGCGCTGTTATAAATGTAACACTATTTTACCGCTGCTATGGTGCTGTACATTTTTTACTAGCTGTTTAACAGACCATGGAGTGTGACGGTGTAAATGTGGCATATCATATTTGTGGTCCTTTGACACATAATGATCCCTTTCTTATTGTGTCCTCATTATCTAAAGATCTTTAACCCTCATAGCGCTGGCCATGGCAGTCGGAGACATACAGTGAGTATATTAAATCCATTTTTCCTGTCAGAGAGCAGCAGTGGGTATTGTTTGCCTTACACATGGACAGGTACTGTGGCTCGGGAACTAAAGAAGAGTTAAAAACCAGGTCCCACCTTATGATCCATTAAATCCTCTAAAACCAGGATCCCTCCTGTGTTTGCTGTCCAGGTTTTGGTTGTTTTACACGGCTGGGGATGGGCCGGACATTCACATCCTGCATTTTTGGAGCTGGAAAAACTTTGTGTGTTAGTTTGTCCTCCTGCTGTGAGTCTGGCTTTTACCCTTCCTGCAGTAAGTGAAAGAAATCCGGGTGCTTGACCTCATGTTCCTCCATATATCTCACCATAGCTCTCCAGCCGTCCTGTCTTAAAAAGTTTCTGCCAATTGTTTATTCTTTAGGAATGACAGCATCGTGCGTTATAAACAAATGCCTGCATTTTATAAAGGAAAACCATTCACAATCCCCAGAAATAAATGAATCGGTAAATGAAATATCTGATGAAATGATCTGGATAATCGGGATCACTCTTATTGCTAATCCTGGATATCACACATTATATGGAGGTGTTAACGCAGCTCCCTGTATAACACGGCTGTTGGACCTCGCTCTTGTTATCGTGTCTTGTATGGTAAAGCTCCCTATTTTATTGAGATGGTAACCTCTTCCGGGATGTAACCATGTCCCAGTTACTCACACGCGATGGGTTAGTGAATACCCAGAAGGGTCTGCCCAGGAACTGGGAGAAACCAACAGCCCCCTCCATGGTTACACGTCTTGGTTCTTTATTATTCTGCAAGTTTACCCCTTAAATATGGAGCCCTCTTCGTACCACTTTTCCATGTCACCTGTACTTTTTAACACCAGAAATCTGAATTTAAACCATGGAAGTTGGTTCTTATTATGGCTAAAATGTCTTATGGACGGGAGGTGGGGACTGACTGCCAACCGAGTCGGTCGCACACGGCTGGAGTGCCTCAGCTTTAACCTGAAAACTGCTGAATTAATTAAAGCGCTTCAATAACACAACAAGTGTGGAAAGGAAATTTTACAGATTTTGGGAAAATAATATCATTAAAGTAATAGTCTCAATCAGTATTTTAAAACCCGTTGTGACGAGACCAATCTCGCCACATTGCATTGGAGGAGCCTGGTTGCCCGCCTGCTGCCTTTGGATTATGGACCGGCAGTTAAACGGTTAATTTTACTGTGCAGAAAGATTTATTCCTTCCTTTCTGCACAGCCGTTCGGTAGATTCTATCTACCAAACAAACAGACTTCTATCAGCCTCCCCAGAGCTGTGGGAAGTCGGCCGGCGCCGTTAATTGGCCACCCAGAAGCTGGCGTGTGCCCTCCATTTACCTCCCTGAAGCCGCGGTGAACCACGGCTTAACGTCCGTGTGCCGGCAATTGACCACCCAGTAGCTGCGGTTAACCACAGCTTAATTGACTGTTACTGGGTGGTCGCGGTTACACCTAGCCGCCACACGATGGCAATGTTCTGGAGCTCCCCGGGCAGCCAGCGTTTTTCTGCCCGGCTTTCCTACGCCAAATCTGGACACTGTGTCAGCTAAGCACCGCTGAGCCTCCAGCCCCTGGTTCTAATTCGTACCAATTTATCGAATGTATGTAAATTCGGTATATTGTGTTGGGGGAAGGTTTTAACCCAGATAGCTATGCCATGGAGCCTATTCGTGTAATTAAAGACTTTGGCTCCATGGCAATTAAACTGTATTCGTGTGGCCTGAGTGCCATTCACCTAATAATGTGCACTCAGACTTGAGCTATCTGGGGATATGTTACATGTCTGTGTTTTATGTAATAAATGTTACTTTATGTATTTTAAAGTATAATACTGTTTTTTTGTCCCCACGTGTGTAGTGGAGTTTTGCCTTTGTCTTGGGAGATAATTGAATTACTTCTCAATTATCTCCCAGGGCAGAGGGGAGGAAGCCAGGATGCATTGTGGGAATATACTGTGACTGTGTGTCCTATTTGTCTGCTTGTCTGTTCCTTGTCACAGTCTCCCATTTGGTCCCCTAGGGGAGTGTCCACCAGGTGGGAGACCTGCATAAATACTGGGCAGGTAGCCCTCATTAAACAGACCACTGCTTGACCCTCAACACGGAGCTCTGTCTCGTCTTTGGGGGGATTTCCTGTATGCTGATAGAGATTGATTGCCAGGAGTGTAAGCCGCTTGGGTGCTTTTCCTGTTCGTCTGCTAGCAGCTATTCGTGAGGTTCCAGTTCGGGTGTTTGGAGCATTCCCTTGTATGCAGTTCGAGTGTTTGGAGCATTCCCTTGTATGCAGTTCGGGTGTTTGGAGCATTCACTTATTGGCGGTTCGTGTGTTTGGTGTTCTGCAGTAGCTGTGCCTGCATCTCTGGAAATGGGGCCGATCGCCTAAACGGTTTTTACCCCTTTTGTGCAAAACGGTCCGTTACACCCGTGGGCATGCCAAATCTCAATGATAAAAATCTAATATAGCAGCAATATTGATAAACGTGTAGAGATATGCCGAACAATACATTTTTCCAGTTATATATCCTTGTAATATGCAGAAAACCTCAAAAGTAAAAATATAAAAACATCATAGTGCATACATTATTTTTTTTTGTTAGATATGAAATACAATATGGAAGATGGGATATTGATAAACATGCCAACACAAGTGGAGAGACCTTATAACGGCTCAATAATGGAGGTGTGTAGAGCCTGTATCATCTGGGGATTCCCTCCCTTCAGAGATCTTCTTGGGCTTCACTTATATGTATAGTTATATGTTGGTGCGAATATACCTTGAACAACACAATGTTAAGAAAGGTCATACATTCACTGGTTTAAGAGCCTTTTCCCGTAGGCTATATTTGTAAAACGGACATCAATTCCGAGGGTGGTGTTTCCCTTCAAAAGACATACTGGAACTGTTCAGTTATCCAGGGGGTTACAATTTATTATAAACAAAAGATAGAAAATATTTTAAAAATAAATTGCTGGTTTGAGCCATGCCTGTGCCATGGTGAGTCTGGCAGCAAGCATGATTTTGTGCAGGAGTTTCTGTTCCCCCCTTGGACAATCTTCTAGTGTTTTTCTGTGGAATACTCTATCAAGAAGGTTCCCAACTCCCCTCCAGAAGGTCTGTGCTTTCAGGCAGTCCCACCACATATGCATGTATTTCCCTGGCGTTTTTCTCATTTAGTACAATTTTACTGGGGTGGTGTACCTGTAACAGAACTATGATTGTGCCTATACTTTTGCCTGGACTTAAATAACAATGCTGCTGGATGTGTCAAACAAAAACCGAATGGCTAGTTTTCGTGTAAATATTCCTACTGTAACATACAGCCCAAAATACCGAACATCAGACGACCCAGGGGAACAGTTAATTGATATTTTACCTCCCAGTGATTGTGGAGCCGTTCACATGGTTCATACGAATTCCTTTGTGCTCAAGTTTCGGGACTTTACACGTGTTCGCGGCCATCTTACGCACGAACGGCGGTGTTTGCCAGTGAACGCATGGAACTAAAAACAGATACGCAAACAGGCGAACACTGCTGAGACCTCCAGGAGCTCGTAAGTTCGTGCTGGAACTACCGAACGACCGGCCGTTCGGTAGGTTTGTTTAAGCCTGCATAGGGATTCCAGCGAACACCAGGATGACTGTGGATGGCAAGGGGTTTGTGGGGTTTTAATGCACGAACGGAGACCGACCGCAAGGCCAAAACTTATGGAACTCTTTTCGGCTAGAAAACCTGTGCGGTCGGTCCAAACTTCAAAGATCCATAACTCCTGAACCCCTCAACCGAATAGGCTGAAATTTGGATATATTGTTCCCCTGAGTGAGAGCTATTAAGCGGTGCTGGACTTAAAGGTGTACCCCCTGCTTTTGGGGTACATCCAGAATGTGGTTAAAATTGTGTCTGTTTTAATTATGTTATATGTTATCTGAGGGGAGGAGACGTGGGGGTTGAACCATGTATCTAATTGGCTGTTGTGATAATTATGTGGGTGTAGCCTTTCAGAGGGCACTATTGCATAAAAGGAGACCCCTGTCAATAAACATCAGTTCTACTTGACCCTTCAAAACGTAGCCTCGTCTCGTTCTTGGAGGGGATTTATGATACCGTTACTCTGCCTCATTTTACAGCACTGCCGGATTATACCCTTGGATATAGTGGATGGGAATAAGAACTCCATTACTGCACAGCAGCTTGCCTAGAAAAGGACGTCTCCAACGGCAGGTACCCCCCTACAGCAGGGTAGCCGTTTTAGTACCATCTTAGCATGGTCTTGTAGGCCTGCTCTTGTTGTGTGACACACACTGAGATAGCTTTGTTTGCGTCCCAGATTTCTCTCCATTCTCTGCCCTCTAGGGTCTCTCCCAGGTCTGTTTCCCACTGTGTAATGTAGTGTAAGTCGCCCCAGTCAGTGCTGTTTGTGCATAGGTGTGCGTATAAGTATGTAATGAGTCCCCTCGGGTGGTTTTCCTTGAGGCACATTCATTCAAAACCCGTTGTTGTAGTTTGTGCCGCAGTTTTTGCTAGGTTGAGTTGTGCGAAGTCTCTAATTTGGATGTATCTAAAGAAGTCTAAAGGGTCGTAATCTGGTCCTTTCCGTCAACTTCTCAAATGACACTATTTGGTTTCCTTCATATAGGTGTATCGCTCTCCGTAGACCCGCCTCCTCAATGTTTTTGAAGTCTCGGGCCCTCATTCCCAGTAGGAACGCTCTGTTCCTCAACAGGTGCATCAGTGAAGAGGGCGAGGTGGTTAATTTGTGTTTAAGGGCCACTGCGTCCCAGACCCTAAGGGAGTTTAGGATAGCTGGGCAATTAGTGCGTAGGATGGCTCTATGTTCCCTTGGTAGCCAAATGTAGAATTGGGGCAGGTCTGCTCCCGTTATGCCGGATTCTAGGTCCGCCCATCTGCTGTCGCCTGGTGTCGAGTGCCACATGGCGTTCTAGGCCAATTGGGCCGCTACATAGTAGTTGTAGAGGTGGGGCAGGCCTAGCCCTCCTCCGTCTTTGGGCCTATACAATACATTGCCTGAAACTCTGTCATTTGTGTTGCCAAATAAAATCCCTGATTGTCCTCTGCAGGGGGGCCAGATCAGTTTTAGTGATAGGTATCGGCATTGCTTGAAAGAGGAAGAGGAGTCTGGGGAGTAAGTTCATTTTTATTGTATGGACCCTTCCTATCCAAGATATGGGTTTGTCTACCCATCTGTCAAGGTCGGCACTGAGGGTTTTGAGAAGGGGGGTGTAGTTAGCCCCGCACAGCTCTTTGGGGTCTGCGGTCAGTTGTATCCCTAGGTATTATATGGTATTTTGTGCTATAGGTATGTGGTGCTGGTTCCGTATGTGTGTCGTGTAGTTTTTTGTCATGACTATTGGGAGTGCAGTGGATTTGGACAGGTTGACCTTATAGCCCGATAGGTCTCCATATGCTGTTAATTCTCGAGCTAAGGCCTTCATTGAGTTCCCTGGGTTTGTGAGAGTGAGAAGTACATCGTCCGCATATCCTGATACTTTATACGTCTGGTCACCCACCGTGATTATTATTATTATTATGATATTTATAGATCGCCGTCAAATTCTGCAGCGCTTTACAATGGGTGGACGAACAGACATGTAGTTGTAACCAGACAAGATGGACACACAGGAACAGAGGGGTTGAGGGCCCTGCTCAATGAGCTTACATGCTAGTGGGAGTGGGGTAAAATGACACAAAAGGTAAGGATAGTATTAGACTAATGACAGTTGCAGAAGAGGAATCAGTTAGGAGCTATTAACAGTTTAATTGATTTGCTTTTATGAAGAAGTGGGTTTTTAACGATTTTTTGAAGGAGTAGAGACTGGGTGAGCATCTAACGGAGGAGGGAAGCGAGTTCCACAGGAACGGTGCAGCCCTCGAGAAATCTTGAAGGCGAGCATCAGAGGTGGGAGTACGGACAGACGATAGACGTAAGTCTTCAGCAGATCGTAAGGGCCTAGATGGGATATACTTGTGTATAAGGGAGGACAGATAGATGGGAGCAGCATTATGTAGAGATTTGAAAGCAAGAACCAGGATTTTAAATTGAGCTCTATATTTTATAGGAAGCCAATGTAGGGACTGACAGAAGTGTGAGGCATGGGAGGTGCGGGCGGACAGGAAGATGAGCCTCGCCGCCGCATTCATTACGGACTGTAACGGCACTAGTTGGGGCACGTAAGACCACTGAGAAGCGGATTACAGTAGTCAAGGCAAGAAAGGACAGTGGAATGGACCAACACCTTAGTCGCATCAGGCGTTAAGTAGGGGCGGATGCGCGCAATGTTTTTGAGATGGAAATGACAGGATTTGGCGATAGATTGAACATGAGGCTTGAAGGAGAGGTCGGAGTCAAAGAGAACACCTAGGCAGCGAGCCTGCGTGGTGGAGCTAATGGTAGCACCGTTGACTTGGAGGCAGACAGACACAGGAGTAACAACACTTGAGAGAGGAAAGACCAGAATTTCAGTTTTGGTCAATTTTAGTTTAAGGAAGTGGGCAGCCATACAGTTAGAAACAGCAGAGAGGCAGTCAGAGACACTAGTCAAGAGGGACGGGGAGAGATCAGGAGAGGACAGGTAGATTTGCATGTCATCTGCATAGAAATGATATTGGAAGCCAAAGGAGCTAATGAGAGGCAGTATAGATGGAGAACAGTAGGGGACCAAGGACTGTACCTTGGGGGACACCAACAGAGAGGAGTTGGGGAGAAGAAGCAGAGCCAGAGAAAGAAACACTGAAAGAGCGCTGGTAGGAGGAGCACCAGGAGAGAGCAGTATCTTGTAGACCGATATTACGGAGGATGAGAAGAAGCTGTTGATGATCAACAGTGTCAAAAGCCGCAGACAGGTCAAGGAGAATTAGGATAGAGTAGTGACCACGAGATTTTGCAGCGAGTAGATTATTGGATACGTTGGTCAGTGCCGTTTCCACAGAGTGCTTAGCGCGGAAACCAGATTGAAGCGGGTCTAGCAGAGAGTTGGACTTGAGGAAGTCTGTCAATCTCGCATACACAATTTTTTTTCAAGGATCTTGGATGCAAAAGGCAGTAGCGAGATAGGATGATAGTTGGATGGGGAGTTAGGGTCAAGATTGGGCTTCTTTAGAATTGGGGTTACAGTTGCATGTTTGAAGGGCAATGGAAATATACCAGAGAGAGAGAGATTGAGAATTTTAGTGAGAGGTGGAGAAAGAGAAGAAGACAGAGTACGGATGAGATGCGAGGGAATTGGATCTAGGGAGCAGGTGGTGGGGCGGGAGGACTGGAGCAGAGCAGAAACCTCTTCCAATGTAGCGGGTGCAAATGAACATAGAACAGCAGAGGGAGTGAAGTTAGGGGAAGTATTGTAAGGGGAAGAAGAAAGATGAGATATCTCTTCTCTGATTGTAGAGATCTTGTCAGTGAAGTGAGTTGCAAAGTCTGAGACGGTCAAGTTAGTAGGTGGAGGAGGAACAGCAGGGCGAAGGAGAGAGTTAAATGTGTGAAATAGTCGTTTGGGTTTGTGGGAGAGTGTGATTATGAGGGTATTGAAGTAATTAACTTTTGCAGAGGAAAGAGCCACGCTGTATGAGGTCAGCATAAATTTATAGTGGAGAAAGTCAGACGCACAGTGAGACTTTCTCCAACAGCGTTCAGCAGTTCTGGAGCATTTTTGGAGGTATCGAGTGAGCTTGGTGTGCCAGAGTTGTTGTTGGGGGGGCCTGCGGCATTTAAATGTACAAGGTGCCATGATGTCTAGTTAAAAGGAGAGGGTGGAATTGTAGAAAGAGGTTCCAGAACTAGGACAGGTGAGGTTTGAGATAGGTAAAAGGAGAGTTTAGAGAATAGTGGAGAAATGCTCTAGGTCAAGACATTGGAGGTTTCTGTGAGAGTGATGTTCAGACGGTGGTGTCAATTGGGTCTTAGGTATGCCAATGTCAAAAGTCAGCAGATGGTGGTCAGATAGAGGAAAGGGAATATTGGAGAGATTAGAGGCAGTACAGAGGTTGGTGAAGGCAAGATCAAGAGTGTTTCCTGCTGTATGGGTTGCTAGATTGGACCATTGCGCAAGGCCAAAGGAGGAGGTTACAGAGAGCAGACGAGAGGCATCAGTGCAATTGGGGTTATTGATTGGGATATTGAAATCCCCAAGTATAAGGGAAGGAGTGCTAGATGAGAGGAAGTGTGGAAGCCAGGAAGAAAAGTGCTCAACAAATAGTCTAGGATAACCAGGGGGGCGGTAGATGATAGCAATTCTTAAAGGAGTGGGTTTAAATAGGCGGGCAGTGTGAACTTCAAAAGAAGAAAAGGATAGGGCAGGGGGAGTTATGATTGGTTGAAAGGTACATTGAGGGGAGAGAAGGATGCCTTCGCCGCCTCCTTTACAGTTGAGTCTGAGAGTGTGAGAGAATTGTAGCCCACCAAAACATAAAGAGGAAGGAGTAGCGCTATCAGAGGGGGACAGCCAGGTCTCTGTAAGTGCAAGCAGTGTGAGTGAGTTTGAGATGAAAAAGTCGTGTATGGTTGTTGATTTTAAATTACTGCAGATGGAGCGGGCATCCCAGAGTGCACAATTGATTTTGGTAAGTGAGGGTAAAGGGCAGGGTATTGTGATGAGGTTTGTGGGGTTTCTGGTTGTCTTAGTGTGTGTAGAGAAGGTGAAGGGCCCTAGATTGGGAGAGACATCACCAGCTGCTAGAAGTAGGAGGAGAGAAAGTGACAGGAGGTGTGAATGGGTTTTGTATGCATGGGGTCTAGGATGAGATCGATTGTGGGTCGGAGTGAGAGAGTA